TTCCCGAACTAATCATGAGATTGTGATGCATCATACCCCCATGCATGTCAGTCATTTTATATAAAACAAAATTAATGATGTGCCTGAATTTGAGAGACACTGCATATTAAGAACTCCAGAGGTTAATATTTTACATGTTTCAGAAAACTCTCCTGGAGCATTTCTTTTTGCAACTGTAAATTGTACCACTCAGAAAGCCCCAAGTACTAGTTAACACAAGTGAGCAATCCTTCTCCCACTTAGAGTGCCCTAATGTGGCAAAGACATACATTTTGGTGCCTCATGTATATATGTATGTATATGTATGTATATATGTATGTGTACTCATGTGTGCTCATATAAGCAATCGATATTTTCTTAATTTGAAGCTAATGGAGATCTCCAGTAAGTATTCCAAGTCTGCAGGCCTTGCATAATGGTTTATATTCCCAAAAGTCCTTATAAACAAACTAATTAGATGTATTAACAAATGTAAAATCAGTAATACAGAATCTTCCAATTTTTGTTTCATAAATGCCTTGTTTTCAAAGAGTGTACTTAAGATGCTTTTGTTTACCAAATGCCTTCTGCTTATGTACCACAGGTATTTATAATCACCGTTTCACAATTTTTACTAATTTTAGTAAGAAGATGTTTCTTTAACCAATTACTGCAAAAACATAGCTTTGATCTCCTATGTTAACAGACATAATGATTCTGACCATGATAGATACATGTGTGTTCCTAGATGTATGCAGGGAACACAGTAGAATAGTTTTTCCATTACTGAATTGGAATTTGGAAATAACACATAAAAAAAAAAAAGGCAGAGGGGATATAAAAATTAGTCACCAGACAAGAAACATTATTTTTTTTCTTTCTTGCATTCTGTCTTTCAGATTTGTGACAAAGAGTGGCATTACTATGTTGTCAATGTTGAGTTTCCCGTTGTTACCTTATACATGGATGGAACAACGTACGAACCTTACTTGGTGACCAATGACTGGCCTATTCACCCTTCACACATAGCCATGCAGCTAACTGTCGGTGCTTGCTGGCAAGGTAATATTCTGACAGTAGGTATGCTATAGATGTGCTGAAATTCGGTCTGCATAGAATTTTGTTTCATTATTTGCATATGAGTAGTATTAATTACTGATATTGATTAATTAGTGAAAAAATCAATGGTATAAAACTGGAAGTAAATCTAGGCTGTGAGCCTGAAAGGAATCAAATCTGAGGATAAAACTGATGGGATCATGCAAGATCGATTCATCCAGGAAATTACTGTAATAAACTGTAAGAATACATACGTTTGCATAACTGCAGTATTTAAAAGTCCTGTGTCATCTAGAGAAGTGTTGAATCCAGTTTGCATATTCAATAAGAAAGATAATGTTCTATATGTTTTGTCTTTCACTATTTCAACCACATCCCTTGGTCTCCAACTTGAAACAAGCTACCTAATACTGCTCCAGAAAACCCCTGCAACTCCAGCTGTGTCTCTCATTCTCTGCGTGAAATTTCTGTCACTGCTTTCATAACCCATGGCTTGATCCTGCTCTCTCCACACTGGATGTACATCACCAGTAATACCGCTAATTTAATTCATATATTCTAGTATAGAACAGATCTAAAAGTGAGTGTAAAATAAAACCAGAATTCATATTCTCAACACAGTACTTGTATGGGACCATATTTAAATAACAGCTTTTCCTATTCCTTGCCCTTTATAATTCACCCCTCTCCTTCTCATTCCTGTGCATGGGCCTTACACTACTGACAGTCTGATTCAATTTTTTGTTCTCTGCCTTGCACTGAAGCTGTCATCCTTTTCTGCTCCGTTGCCTCTGTAAGTTTTCCTGGTTATCTTTCCATGGTCATCTGTTATTTGTGCACTGCGTTCTGCTTTTATTTAAGACAGTAACAAAATGTGAAGTTAAACTGTACAATTAGGAAAAAATATTTCTTCCCCACACTCCAATACCTCTTGTCTTGTTACCTTATTTACCACTTTGATTGGTTGTCATTTACAGTATTTTTCCCCCAAAATTTGGGCATCTTGCATATGTCACACTATGTCAATACTATTATTGTCAATTTCAACTGTTAGTTTATAAACTCTTTGGGGTAAAGATGCAATCTTTAATGTAAAAATGCAGAATAAGGCCACGTTAGTCCTAAAAACAAGATTTGATGTTTCAGTGCTGATCAATCAGGTGAATACAGCTAACTACTCAGCATGACACAAATCCTACACATTTGTGCAGGCAGACACTGATCCTTGTCTAATCGGTATTTGTATGTGCAGGCTTTCCATCTTTATATATTGGAGCTTTTCACTAATGTTAGCTGACTACTAGAATAATTTTATTCTAAGGTGCTAAGATTCTAAAGAAATCTTACTTCCTTTTCTAGCTAAAAATAAATAGCAAAACACATATTAAACTCGTCAGAAACCAGAACTTCAACTTAACCAATGATTTACAGTGTTTCTTTTAGTTTGATTAAATATGCAATATGTTTGACTAAATATGCAATCCCTTGGACTTCCCTTTTTTTCCTAATGTAGTTTTAGTGTACTGCCTTTGGAGGCAACAAAGGCAGGGACCATTGGTGAACAGAGCAAATCCAGTTCTTTCCAGACATGTGAAAATGCTTTGGAGACTACTGAGTATTGTCTTCTGAAAAGTCATCAGCATTTCCCAACAGTCCTGATGAAGAAACTTTATTCTCTTATTTACTCCTTTATTCCCTTTCAAATGCCATATAGTCAAGAAAGGAATAAGTAGACTCAATAGCTTTTTTGACTGTCATGGTTTCAGTGAGCTGTCTCTATTAAGGATAATCCAGTTCTGTCAGCAAGAATAATTCCAAAGCTTTGCATTTGCAAAGTATTAGCAAATTGTTTCACAACAGTCTGTGATTTCTTGAGGTAACAACGTGCTGTGATTTTGGTGCTTGTAGTGCAAGGAGCAAGGGAGTCCTTGTCAAGGCAGAGCTCTCCCTGCAGCCATTCAAGTGAAATACAAGAACAGCTCAAGTTTGGTGGTTCTTGAACTTAACACAAAAACAAACTAAATATGCAATCCCTTGGACTTCC